CCGATTACATGATTCGTTCATTGAAACCTCCCAAATGTGAATATTGAAATTGTACAGTGGTTACCGAGCTTATTACTAAATTATTATTTGTATTATACTACAAGAAGAACATGATGAGACTGAAAATTATTTATTGTTTCTGAAAGGGCATTTTTATGTTATCTTCTGTTTGAGATACTAGCATGTTTTCTGACTTGTCCCCAATAAAAACGGTTGTGGTTAAGTATTATTACTCACTGAGCTAGCGACTCATTCCCCGCTATTTTTTTTACAGAGACAGCAGTTGACGCAAGCGAGGATTTCGTTAATTAGACCGCACATATTGATATTTCTCGGTGAGCCTTGCACTTGTTCGCGTGGGCAGAGATTTTATTTATTGTTATGGTCTTTTCTTTGAACTCTTAGAGTCTCTCCATAGTCATTATTTTAGTGTCATGAATATTCTTTTGTTATTATAGTCTTATGTTGAGTATCGTTCTCATTTATCAAAGTTGGAGATAAATTAGTATTTCTAGTGGTTAGTTGGTGGTTTAGTCATGGTGGAGACTTGTATTGGTTAATTGACATGTTGTCAATTGTTTGGTATGATATTAGGATGTTTGGTTGTTGATTTAAGACATGAAATTTTTTGGGATGGTCCAAAAACCGAGGAAACTCTGCCCGATTTTCAATAAAATTACCGATGAAGCTTACTTGGGAGAACTTGCTCCTAAGCGCCTGTCACAATCCTAAATTGGGTCGTGACAAAGTTGGTATCAGAGCTTAGGCTTTAAGTCCCGAGTCATGGAGCAATGTTTAGTAGAGTCTTGTTCATGGGTATGTAGGCACCCATACTTATGATCTCGAGGCTACTGAACATTTAGGAATGTTTTCCCTTCTTTCATTGTTTGATCGTGCGTTGAGATAACTTGAGATTGACTTTGGAATATTTCTTTCGCAGATGGTTAGGACACACACACCCTCATCTTCTGGACGTGATGCTGGACGTGGTACTACTCGGGGTAGAGGTCAAGTTGGGGTTCATCAAACTAAAAGACAGATTGCTCCTCAACCTCAAGTTGGGAACATGGGTCAAACCCAAGCTGTTATGCCAGATCAAGTGCAAGAGTAGGGAGTTCAGAACGCTCCACCACCAGTGCCAACTGTTGTACCTATTGTTGCCTTACTTGCAGATGCAGTGGCAAGGTTATTAAATGTGTTAGAGGCATTGGTGCCTACTCAAGGCGGAAGTTCATCTCCTCAGGCTACTTTACAGACACAAGCACCTACATAAACTCAGCCTTTCGGGAATAAGGAAGTNTTCAAGAATCATTTTCTTCCAGACAGTCTGATGCAACAATATGCTAGAGACTTTGAGAGATTGGTTCAGACTCCAGATATGGATGTGTCAACATATAACACTAAGTTCTGTAAGCTGGCTATATATGCTCATCACTTAGTGCCTACCGAAGAAGCTCGAGTTCAGAGGTTTGTTGATGGATTGGTTGGTCGTATATACATTGCAGTAGCCCCACAAATGAAGACTTTATCCTACTCTGATGTAGTCGACCTTGCTAGAAAGATTGAAAACAAAGGACGTGAGGAGCGTGCAGCTAGTGATTCTACGTAAGAAGGCCAAGACAGGAGGGGCTTTCAGTGGTGGTTTTAGTGAAAATAAAAGAGCAGGAAATCAGGGACAACAACAACAACAGAGTTCTCAGACAGAGACACACATGTCTTCACAGTCCACATACAGACCACATTATAGACACGGTAATAGGGGACCATCACCTTCTGGACATCGTAATTCTGGGCAGATATATGCCACTACTCCAGTCTGCCAGACTTGTGGTGGATCACATTTGGGCCACTGTCGTATTCTAACTGGAGAGTGCTTTCGGTGTGTCCAGTTGGGACATCACTTGAGGGATTGCCCTCAGCCTCCGAGAAATTTCAACCAGGCTTCTATTCAGTCAGCTACACCGACTCAGACTACTTTTAATACTTCAGGTGCTACATGTACAGGAAATAGAGGTCGAGGTGTTGGAGACCATGCTACTGTGAATCAAGGACAAGGCAATGCTGGTAGAGGTCAGGCGAGAGTTTTTGCATTTACTAGACAGGATGCTCAGGCCTCGAATGCAGTGGTTACATGTATTCTTCTGTCTGTTCATTTGATGCACTTGCGTTGATTGACCAAGGATCTACCCACTCCTATGTGTCTTCGTATTTGCTTTGAGATTTAGTAGATAGCCCGAGCTATTGAATGATCCTTTTCTAGTTGCTACTCCTGTTGGAGAGTCCCTATTAGCTGAATACATGTATCGTGCTTGTCAGATTCGGGTTGAGGGTAGAGATATTTTAGCTGACCTTATTGTACTTGATATGATTGACTTTGACATGCTGATGGAAATGGATTGGTTATGTTCTTGCTATGCTATAGTCGATTGTCATGCAAAGATAGTTAAGTTTGAGATACCAAATGAACCTAGTTTTATTCTAAGAGGGAGTCAGGTTCCAGAGACTTGCAAAACTGTATCTTTTATGAAGGCTCAACGACTTCTGAAGAAAGGTTGCTTGGGTCTCTTAGCTATTGTAAATGACACAATAAAGGAAATAATTAGTATAGAAAATGTACCCGTAGTGAGAGAATTTTCTGATGTATTTCCTGAGGATTTACTAGGATTGCCTCCAGTACAAAAAATAGACTTTGGTATTGATTTGCTACCTGACACACAGCCCATATCGATACCCCCATATCGAATGGCACCAACAGAATTGAGGGAGCTAAAGCAACAGTTACAAAATTTGTTAGATAAGGGTTTTATTAGACCTAGTGTATCACCATGGGGTGCACCAGTACTGTTCGTAAAGAAGAAAGACAGATCCCTAAATATGCATTGACTACAGGCAGTTGAACAAGATAATAATACGCAATAAATATCCTTTGCCTCGTATAGATGACATGTTTGATCAGTAACAAAGAGCTGCCCACTTTTCAAGGATTGACCTCCGTTCTGGTTATCATCAACTTAGAATCAAAGATGAAGATATTTCTAAGACTGCTTTCAGGAGTCGATACGGGCACTATGAGTTTCTTGTGATGCCTTTCGGACTGACAAATGCTCCAGCTGCATTCATGGATTTAATGAATAGGGTGTTCAAGCCATTTCTGGATGGATTTGTAATAGTAATTATTGATGATATCCTGATATCTTCTCGTAGCCAAGGAGAACACGAGAATCATCTCAGGACTGTGTTGCAGACATTGCGAGAACATCGGCTTTATGTTAAGTTCTCGAAGTGTGAATTCTAGCTAGACTCGGTAGCATTTTTGGGGCATGTTGTATCCAAAGATGGAATTATGGTAGATCTTAAGAAGACCGAAGCTGTGCAGAAATGGCCCAGACCTACTTCTCCTATAGAGATTCACAGCTTTTTAGGCTTAGCAGGCTATTACAGGCGTTTTGTGTAGGATTTCTCCAAAATAGAAGCGCCACTGACCAAGCTAACACAGAAAATGCAAAGTTTCAGTGGACGGAGGAATGTGAGCAAAGCTTTCAGAAACTCAAAACATGTCTGACAACTGCACCAATATTAGCCTTACCATCAGGTTCTGGAGGATTTACAGTATTCTGTGATGCTTCGAGGGTGGGATTAGGATGTGTTCTCATGCAAAATGGTCGTGTTATAGCTTATGCTTCGAGGCAATTGAAAAGGCACGAGCAAAATTATCCTACACATGATTTGGAGATGGCTGCAGTGGTATTTGCTCTAAAAATTTGGAAGCATTATATATATGGCGAAACTTGTGAGGTTTATACCGACCATAAAAGTCTGAAGTATATCCTTCAGCAGAGAGATCTGAATCTTCGACAGAGTCGATGGATGGAACTACTCAAAGACTATGATTGTTCTATTTTATATCATCTTGGAAAAGCCAATGTGGTAGCTGATGCATTGAGCGGAAAATCTATGGGAAATTTGGCACATATAGACCCTGCAAAGAGACTTTTGGCCAAAGATATTCAGAGACTAGAAGATACAGGTATCAGATTTAGTGTCGGAAATTCAGAGGTATTGTTGGCTTGTGCTCAGGCTAAGTCTTCATTAGTTGAGCGCATTAAGGCCACCCAATATGAGGATGAACGATTATGCAAATATAGGGATGAGGCCTTAGCTGGTAAAAGCAAGGATATGACTGTTGAAAGTGATGGTGTTCTTCGAATGGGTGAGAGGCCATGTATAGCAGACGTAAATGGGTTGAGACATGCTATTCTTTAAGAAGCTCACAACACTAAATACACTATACATCCTGGATCCACAAAAATGTACCATGACCTGAAGCAATTTTATTGGTGGGAAGGTATGAAGAAAGATGTTGCTAACTTTGTTTCTAGTTGTTTGACTTGTCAGCAGGTCAAGGTTGAGCATCAGCGACCTGCAGGACTACTACAACAAATTGAAATTCCAGAGTGGAAATGGGAAAGAATTACTATGGATTTTGTCACCGGGCTACCACGAACCCTTAGAGGTTATGACTCGGTATGGGTGATTGTAGATCGACTGACGAAATCAACACACTTTTTGCCGGTAAAGACTACATATGGTGGAGTCAGGTATTCACAGATATTTATGAACGAAATTGTCCGACTTCGCGGAGTTCCAGTATCCATCATCTCTGATAGAGGATCACAGTTCACTTCACGCTTTTGGATATCTTTTCAAGAAGTATTGGGTACACGAGTAGATCTTAGTACTGCATTTCATCCACAGACGGACGGGCAATCTGAACGTACTATTCAGATCTTGGAGGATATGTTGAGAGCTTGCATTCTTGAGTTTGGAGTTAGTTGGGACACTTATCTACCGTTAGCTGAATTTGCTTACAACAATAGCTTCCAGTCCAGTATTCAATGGCACCGTACGAAGCATTGTATGGTAGAAGATTTCGTTCTCCTATCGGATGGTTTGAAGCTGGTGAGACTAATTTATTGGGACCCGACCTAGTACAAGAAGTTATGGACAAGGTCCAGTTGATCAGACAAAGATTGCTTGCAGCTCAAAGTAGACAAAAGTCTTATGCTGATAAGAGAAGAAGAGATTTAGTGTTCACAATTGGGGACAAAGTGTTGCTACGAGTCTCCCCTTTGAAAGGTGTGATGCGGTTTGGGAAAAGAGGCAAGTTGAGCCCTAGGTTTATAGGACCGTATGAGATATTAGACCGAGTGGGAGCGGTGGCTTATCGTTTGGCACTTCCTACTGAGTTGTCCTTTATTCATCCAGTGTTTCACGTCTCAATGCTAAGAAAATGTATATCAGACTCATCTCAGGTGATTGAAGCACCGACTATACCACTCGATGAGAAGTTGTCTTACGAGGAGAAGCCAATGGCTATTGTTGATAGACAAATAATAAAACTACGGTAAAAAGAAATCATGTTCGTGAAAGTCTTATGGAGAAATCATACAGTTGAAGAAGCTACTTGAAAAATAGAAGAAACTATGCGAGTTAAGTACCCCTATTTGTTTCAGTCTACATGTACGTACTTGAGTTAAATTCGGGGACCGAATTTCATAAGGTGGGGAGGATGTAATACCCTATATTTTTAAATAAGGGTGTATTGATAATAATAATAATAACAACAACAAAAATTATAAGAAAATAACTTTTAAAAAAAAGGATAAGTAAGGCAAAAAGGGCCGAAGCCCATTTGCCTAAAAGAAAAGAAAGGTCTGCTGAGTTCGACGAAGCAGAAGCTTCAGAATGAAACAAAAAAAAAACAGAGAAGGAAAGAAAGGGAGAAGAAGAAAGAGGCTAGAACCAAATCTTGAGAAATCTTAAATACGCACTGGTTTTTACGGGTAATACTCGAATTTCTCATCTGGGTTCTTTTATTCTGGTAATTCTTTTTATCTCAGTTTATATATTTGAAGGGTTTCACAAGGTATAAGAAATTAAATACCAATAAGAATTATTCTGGGTAAATTAAGAGTCAAACATAAAACCTCGAGAGTTGGTATTCTAAAATAGCTATGAATTAGCCTAAATAAGAAAATTAACATGAGATCGATATTATGTAATTATAGATTGATTGGAGGAATTTGTACGAGTTGCTTGAGGTGAAGCATTTGGTATTTCGGAACGAGTACTGTGAGTAGTAATCTTACCGCAATTTGTGTGTTCATAACTTGCATGATTTACACATGATTTTTAATATGAATATGTTACCGATTATTTTGAGTTGCATGTGGGACAAGTCTTTTACTCGATATGATACCGAAATAGTTATTTGAGATGAATACCGTGGTTTTATATATTTTCATGTCACTAGATCTGTTGGACCGTTTCATGAATTTACTGTTATCGAAAAGAAATTATATGATTTGATAAGAACTGAAATGCCCTATATTATTTTAAAATATTTTCTACGAGTATATACGGATTACAGAGACAAGTATAAATGGAAGGAGACATTGAAGGATCCTGTAGCTAACGGCGGGTTCGTTAGACCTGGTGCACCTTGTAATTACAGATTACCGTTATAGCCCTCTCTAGTGGGAAGGTAGAAATAGCATACTGTTACCGATTTCCCTCGAGTAGGGACTACCGTTCCATTTAACTTCTTGCAAAGAAGTCCATAGTTATACCGATTACATGATCCGTTCATTGAAACCTCCCAAATGTGAATATTGAAATTGTACAGTAGTTACCGAGCTTATTACTAAATTATTATTTGTATTATACTACAAGAAGAATATGATGAGACTGAAAATTATTTATTGTTTCTGAAAGGGCATTTTTATGTTATCTTCTGTTTGAGATACTAGCATGTTTTCTGACTTGTCCCCAATAAAAATGGTTGTGGTTAAGTGTTATTACTCACTGAGCTAGCGACTCATTCCCCACTATTTTATTTTACAGAGACAACAGTTGACGAAGGCGAGGATTTCGTTAATTAGAGCGCACAGATTGATATTTCTTGGTGAGCCTCGCACTTGTTCGCATGGGCAGAGATTTTATTTATTGTTATGTTCTTTTCTTTGAACTCTTAGAGTCGCTCCATAGTCATTATTTTAGTTTCATGAGTATTCTTTTGTTATTATAGTCTTATGTTGAGTATCGTTCTCATTTATCAAAGTTTGAGTTAAATTAGTATTTCTAGTGGTTAGTTGGTAGTTTAGTCATGGTGGAGAATTGTATTGGTTAATTGACATGTTGTCAATTATTTGGTATGATATTAGGATGTTTGGTCGTTGATTTGAGACAGGAAAATTTTTGGGATGATCCAAAAAACAGGGGAAACTTTACCCGATTTTCTGTAAAATTACCGATGAGGCTTACTTGGGAGCACTTGCTCCTAAGTGCCGGTCACAACCCTAAATTGGATCGTGACACTGTCGTTGAGACTCACTGAGTACAATGGATGGTACTGATGTTCTCTTTTGGGAATCTACGTTGGTCTGCGGTACAACGTAGGCACCGGTTTTGCAGGCGAGCAGGCTACGGATTAGGACTTCCTTCTCTTCCAATGCTATTGGTGAGATCCGCTTTTGTTCGTGGAGTATTTCTTAGAGTCATTTTTACTTAGCTATTTCGTTGTTTACTTAGAGAACTAGCCAGAAAATCTTATGTCCTGAGCAGTGCGTCAGTTTATTAGTAGAAGCTTCATAGACAATGTCGGTGGGTTAAGAGTCAGAGGTTTTCAATAATAACTTAGCAGTATTTTATTGGTTACTATGAATAAAGTTTTGAAGTTGGCTTATTTTAGATATATAAATTATTTAAAAGTATTTAGTTACAGTAGTGCCTTGTGGCATATAAAGTTTGAAATTATAATAGATTTGATAAGCATAGATGGTTCGCTCAATCGTGTTAATGATTGGGTGCCTGTCCCGGCTTGTTCAGAAAATGGGTCATGACAAACTTGGTATCAGAGCCTTAGGTTTATGGAGTCCTAGGGGTCTATGAAGTTGTGTTAGTAGTCTTGTTTATGGGTATGAAGTGCGCCATACTTATAAACAGAAGGCTACAAGCATTTAGGAAAAGTCTCATTTTTTTAATACTTTAGATCGTGCAGTAGAGCCTACCTCTAAGAAATTATCTAATGTATTCTTTTCTCCAAAACTCGCAAAAATGGCTCGTACTCGCAACTCTGACACCGACACTCAGGATGCTCAAGAAACTATTGATACCATTGTGGCTCAAGGTAGAACTAAGAAGGCTTCAACTCAAAAAAAGAAGGGTAAATCCACAAAGAGGGTTCAAGTACCCTGGGTTGAGCATGAAGAAGGGGTGGAGCATGATGATCCAGTACCTCCCCCAACGGCAGCTCCGGCTCAGGCAACTATATCTCCCCAGTGGGTCAGATGTTTAATGATGTCAACAGTGATATGGAGATGTTTAATGCCTTTATGGCTAACCAGAACGAGAGAAGAGATGAGATTCCACCTCAATCAAATAGACAGAACAATTCTGAGTCCTCAAGAGTGAATGACTTTTTGAAGTTGAGTCCTCCAGTGTTCTATGGTTTTATAGTTGATGAAGATCTAATGTTGTGGCTGGAGGGTGTCAAGAAAGCCCTCCTAGTGATGAAAGCATTTGATGATGAAGCTGTGGAGCTGGCTTCTTACCAGCTTAAAGATGTGGTTGGCGCTTGGTTTAAGATGTGGGAAAAGGAAAGAGATGAAGATGATGGTCCGCCTACTTGGAAAGAATTTGAAGAGGCCTTCATGGCTAACTTTATCCTAGAAGAGGATAGGGAAGCTAAGGCTACAGAGTTCGAACATCTCAAGCAAGGGAATAAAAGTGTGCAAGAGTACTACATGGAATTCATAAGGTTAGCTAAGCATGTTCCTCACATGGTTAAGACAGAAAAAGAAAAGATTCGCAGGTTTGTTGGCAGTTTAGTTTACCGCATTAAGGATATGACATGATCTGCAACAGTAGGGATGACAACCTTCTCCTATGTTGTGGGATTTGCCAAGCACTTAGAAAAAGACAAACAACAAAGGAGAGAAGAAAAAGAGCATAACACGAAAGCCTGGACAACGGGCAGGTTTAATGGTACATCCAGCAGAGGTGGAAGGGATTCCTCTAATAAAGAGTCATTAGCACCAGCTCAGTCCAGTCATCAGTTAGGTGGTGGGTCTTCCTTCAGACGTACTCAGAGTTATGGAAACCAGTCTCGCTAGAATCAGAATTTTAGGACATCATCCTCACATAGCCAGAGTCATGCTGAGCAACATTCATACCAACACGGTCTTTGTGGAACATGTAAGCGGCAACATTCAGGTCAGTGCAAGCTCGATTTTCATGGTTGCTATCATTGTGGAGACATTGGTCATATAAAGGCCAACTGCCCAAGGTTGCGAAGTAATTTAAGTGGTGGATCAACTCCTCCTTCTAGTTCCTTAGCTACTGCAGTTGCACTACCTCAGGCTTGTGGTTCTCATAATCAGTCCCGGTATGGGGCAGGCAAAGGTGCAGATCGAGTTACTCAAGGAGGGGGACAACCCCGTTTGTTTGCTACACTTGATCGTCAAAGTGTAGAGGCATCTGCAGAAGTTATTACAGGTATACTTTTAGTCTGCTCACATAATGCTTATGCCATAATGGATCTAGGTTCAATGTTTTCATATGTGATTCCATACCTTGCAATTAACCTCGGGCTAGAACTGGAACAACTTAGTGAGCCATTCCTAGTATCTACTCCAGTTGGCGAGTCAGTAAAAGTCACAAGAGTCTATAAAGGTTGCATAGTTTCAGTCCAAGGTCGCAACACCAAGGCTGATCTCATAGAATTAGAAATGGTGGATTTCGATGTGATCATAGGTATGGATTAGTTGTCTTCCTGCTATGCCATGTTAGATTGCCATGCCAAAATAGTCAGGTTCCAATTTCCAAATGAAGAAGTCTTAGAGTGGAAGGGTAGTTCAGCATCGCTTGCAGGTAGGTTTATTTCTTACCTTAAGGCACAATGAATGATCGGTAAGGGGTGTCTCGCCTATTTGGCTCACATCATTAATCCAGAAACAGAACCATCAGCTCTTCATTCAGTGCCAGTTGTTAGAGAATTTCCAGAAGTTTTCCCAGATGACCTTCCCGGACTTCATCCTGAAAGAATCATAGACTTTGGCATTGATCTCATGCCAGACACTCAGCCCATATCTATACCTCCTTATAGGATGGCTCCAGCAGAACTTAATGAGTTGAGAGAACAATTGAAAGACCTTCTTGACAAGGGCTTCATCAGGCCGAGTGTTTCACCGTGGGGTGTATCGGTCCTGTTTGTCAAGAAGAAAGATGGGTCTCTTAGAATATGCGTCGGCTATCGGCAGTTGAATAAAGTTACCATTAAGAACAAGTACCCACTGCCAAGAATTGATGATTTATTTGATCAACTTCAGGGTGCAAAGTACTTTTCAAA